CCATTGACCCCTCCCCTCTCAAAGCCCCTCCCTCCATCCTGCTCATGCCCCGCCCCTCGGGTTGATCCCACCCCAAAAGTGACACCCAGGCCACGCCCCTCGGCCACGCCCACGCGCTCAACCCCACCCCCCATCCAATCACCACACCCTGACCACGTCCGTCATTCCTTGGCCACGCCCCAAACCTCATTTCTCATTAATTGGCCATGTCCGTCATTTTCTGGCCACGCCCCAATCCACACCAGTAATAAATGGCCCCGCCCCCTGCACGTCAGTCATTCATTGACCACGCCCCAAATCTCATTTGTCATTAATTAGCCACGTCCCCGCCACGTCTGTCATTTTCTGGCCATGCCCCCTGCACGTCAGTCATTCCTTGGCCACGCCCCAAATGTAATTTCTCAGTAATTGCCCATGCCCTCACCCCGTCCGTCATTCCTTGGCCACGCCCCCAACGCAATTTGTCATTGTTTGGCCACGCCCTCTTCACGTCAGTCATCCCTTGGCCACGCCCCTCTCCCTGTTGGCGCCCCCTCGTGGCTGGCTCAGGCATTTTTCCCTTTTTCCACACATTTTTATTTCCCCCCATATTTTTCCATAAAAATTTATCATAAAAGCTTTCCTCTGGTGCCGTATACAAAATATTCACTCTACCCAATAAATAAAACACAAACGTCTGGCAGGCAGGATGTGACCTCAGAAAGGAAAACCAGCATCCATCCATGGATCCATCATCCACGGATCCATCATCCATTCATCTATCATCCATCCATCCATGGATTCCTTCCTTCCATCTATCATCCATCATCCATCCATCATCCATCATCCATCCATCATCCATCCATCATCCATCCATCCATCCATCATCCATCCATCATCCATCCATCATCCATCCATCCATCATCCATCCATCATCCATCCATCATCCATCATCCATCCATCATCCATCTATCCATCATCCATCCATCATCCATCCATCCATCCATCCATCATCCATCATCCATCCATCCGTCATCCATCCATCATCCATCCATCCATCCATCCATCCATCCATCATCCATCCATCCATCCATCATCCATCCATCCATCATCCATCCATCATCCATCCATCCATCCATCATCCATCCATCATCCATCATCCATCCATCCATCATCCATCCATCATCCATCATCCGTCCATCCATCCATCATCCATCCATCCATCATCCATCATCCATCATCCATCCATCCATCCATCATCCATCCATCATCCATCATCCATCATCCATCCATCATCCATCCATCATCCATCATCCATCATCCATCCATCATCCATCATCCATCATCCATCCATCCATCCATCCATCCATGGACTCCATCCATCCATCCCCCCCAGCCCTTCCCCATCCCAAGGATCCACAACAGGGAATTCACTCAGCAGCTCTCCCTCCTCCCCATTCCAAACTCCACAAAGGAAAGGTGGGGCAGGATTCACCTGTGAGGAAGAGAATCCACCTCATACCTGGAAGAGAAAAGCTCTGAGGAGCTCCTACCCAAACCTGTGGCAGGCAGGAGCAAATCCTAGAGGAATTCTGTGGTCACATAGGAAATATCAGAAACAGCAGGCAAGGGATGCTTTTACCCAGACTACAACACCCGTTGCTGCTCTTTCACGTGATGCTGATGCAGAAATTTTCTTAGAAGAAGCCAAAAAAAGCCAATTTTGTGAAGATTTCCTCATCCTCTTGCTCCCTCATCTCCTGGTTTAACCCCCAGCTCTGCGCCCCTCTGACCCTGAGGTTTGAAAAGAACAATTTAAGGCCTTTCCCACCAAACCCCATCCCCTGAAGCTCAGTATGGAAGCACTTTAGGCACTTAAATGATCAAAAGAATTTGAGCATCAGGGCAGCCTCTGTGCAGGGGAAGTTCCTCACATTTACATAAGAAATATTAAAAATAAAGGGGTTTCCAGCCTTGGGTCAAGCAATTTATTCAGGGAATTTATTATCCCAACTCTGGCAATGGGATTTTGTCTCAGATCCTTCCTGCTGCAGCCTGCACTGGACAGAGCCCGGGGTAGGACAGACCCCAAAACTGTTTCTGGAAGTGGTTTAAGCACTGCCAAATGCGTCCCCAAAGCAGCTGCGTGTCAGCACGCAGCCCTTGCTGTGGGAAAGGGAGGCTGGCAAGCTATAATTTGAGAAGAACTAAAACAAAAACAGTGACCCCTGACGGGAAAGGGATGATTCCAAACCTTTGAGGGCCCGGCTCAGACAGCAGGGGAGTCACCCGGCCTCCCTGCCAAGGAACAGGCTGACAAAACTCTGCCAAAATAGCAACATTTCACCCTCCAGCCCAACCTCACAAGTGCCTCTGGCTGCCCACACACCTCAAAAAATAAAAATTAGTCACAAACGTTGGTTTTTTCGCCTGGTTCAGCCCAGGCAGAGCCGAGGATCACTGGGGTTTGTGTGCTCACAGCACCAATCTCAGCTTTTCCTCCGCGTTTTGGATCATTCCTGACTCCTGAGCTCCTCCTCGGAGTGTGGGGAGCTCCTGGAGGAATCTGCCAGCAGCAGAATTGTCCCAGCTGGGTCACTGGGGACAGGGAATGGTTCTGGCCAGGGGGAAGTGACTCAGAGCTGGTGGCCAAAACATCCTGGACATCCCTGGAGGGTTTGGGCCCTGGGTGAGGGCGGCAGGAGGGGCTTTCAGTGAGAACAGCGACTCATGACTGGAAATAAAACACATTTTAAGAAAGCCCAAACAGCCACAGGACCAGCTGCAGGTCTGAGTTTAACCCATCAGCAACTGCCCCGGGACTTCCAGGAGAGCTTTTCCTGCTCTGCATCACTGCCACAGCACTGAAAACCCCTCTGGGAGAGGATTTCCCTCTGGGAATCTGGGAATGGCAGCATCTTCCAGGGGCTGTGCGTGGAAAGAACAGTCTGGATCCATGATGGGAGAGAGAAAATGCAGGCCCAGGCACTGAGGTGAGGAGTGAGAGGTCAGAGTGACTGAGAACCGTGTGAAGAAAGGTAAAAACAATCATTAAAATAAAATAAAATAAATAAAAGCTCAGAAGTTCTCCCTATCTGATGCAAGCCTGTACGTAGCTAAAGGTTAAGTCACCTTTTGGAACCGGTCCTAATGGGATCTTCCTTGTTTTTCCCAAAACAAGGCATGCTAAGTTTTCTCTAAGTTTTGGATCGAGGAGGGGAAGGACAGGAGGGCAGAAATGTGGGTGAACACCTGGGCACCCCTTTGGCCCCACAGCCAAACTTCGGCCTCCCCGCTGCCTTTTTTTCCCCAGGACATCTCCTCCCAGCGTCCCATCTGCTGAATTATTGCTCAAGAAGTTGGGTAAAACCACAGGAAGCAGGGGGAGAGGACTCAGCTGGAGGTGGAGGAGAGCCAGGGATGGATCCCCTCGCTGTGCCGCTCCTGCTCAGGAGCACGACCCGTTACCGGGGGGAACCCAATTCCCTTTTCCCCCCTGGAGAAGCCCTTTGGTGCTGCTGTGCCGTGCTTCCCTCTGCTAAAGGCACCTCTGGAAAGCACTTCTGGCCCTGAGGACACCGCCCCAAAGCCTCTTATTTACACCTGAGATTAACCCCGTGCTGCCTCCAGCCCCACAGCCACCCCCGGGGTGACAGCAGCGGCTGGGGCACGGCCAGTGCCAGGCCCTGGGGTCACACATGGACAGTGACATCCCTGGGGACACACATGGCCAGTGACATCCCTGGGGATACACACGGCCAGTGACATCCCTGGGGGGACACACACGGCTGGTGGCAGGCCCTGGGGACACACATGGCCAATGCCAGACCCTGGGGACACACATGGCCGGTACCAGGACTTGGGGACACACACGGCCGGTGCCAGACCCTGGGGACACACAAGTCCCCCTCTGCCACCTGCTGCCACCCCCGGTGTCACACCGAGCACTTGGCCATGTCACCCTTGTCAAAGACGACTTTGGTTGCGAAGTAGATGGCGACCAGCCCGAAGCCAGCGGCGGACACCATGTAGGCGGTGACCGACTGCGTGAACTGCACGATGGAGCCCATGAAGAGCGAGGGCACCACCTGGGACAGGAGGAAGGCGCTGTCCAGGATGGCCAGGTCCAGGCAGATCCCCCGGCCAGGAGCCCCCGGCTCCGGCTCTCCCACCACCATCCGCAGGGACACCTCGCAGGAGGAGCTGACGCACAGAGCGGAGCTGGACACGGCCGGAGGGGAGGAGGAGGAGGAAGAGGAGGAGGAGGAGGAGAAGAGGTTCCCAGTGTGGCCATTCTGATAAGGCAGCTTCTGGCTGGAGAGCAGCCCCTTGGAGAAAGCTGATTTTTTGTCCAGCAGAGCGGCATCTTCCTCCTCTTTCCTCTTGTATTTATGCAGAAATACCTGCAGGAAGGAGGGAGGAGCGTGAGGAAGGAGCTGGGACTCTGAGGGGGCCTTGTTTTTGTGCAGGAGAGCAAAACCAGAGCTTTGTGTGCGTTCAGGGGAGTGCCAGCCTGAGCCTGGCCCATGTGAGGTGGGTTCCAGGAGCCAGGCTGGCTCTTCCCAACTGGCACAGGATCCAAAGCAGCCCTGACTCACCGGGGGAACCCAGCCAAGTGGGGCCTGGGCTGTGCTCCGGGGCTCAACAGCCCAAAGCCAGCCTGGGGACATCTCGTGCTTTTGTCACCTCCTCACTGGAGGAGGAACCTGAGCCCATCCTGAGATCAGCTGAGCAGGGCAGGAGTGAAGAGCCGGGGTGTGCTGTGGGGTGTCAGACACCAGGGCACTGCCAGCAGCAGGGTTTGGGGATTGTGGGGTGGGTGACTGGGAACCCAAGCCCAGAGCCCGGGATGAGCAGCCACTTCTTCTCATCTGGGATGCTTAAAAGTGCCACCAGCTGGGACACAACAGTCCTGGGAACTCAGGGAAGGGCTCTTTTCTCAGCTCCACAACAAACCTCAGCCAAGCTGCCTCATCTGCCTGCCCAGATCCTCCTCACTCCAGCCAGGAAAAGGGGAGCAGAGGGAAGCCAAATCTTTCCCTTCTCACTCTCTTTCGCCTTGCTCTGCTCACGCTGTGAGGTCTCTGGAGCATTCCCACAGAGCATTTGTTAACACCAACACACCACGGGCAGGAGAGACCAAAGCCAGCTGTGCCCTCCCTCTCTGCACTCCCAGCCTTTGGCAAAGCCCTGGGAATGCGGCCTTCCCCTTCCCAGCCCGTGGAGTTTGGGTTTCATTCCATCGATAAAACATCCTCGGGGAGATCCCAGCCAAGCTGCAGCTCCTGCCAAGCCGAGCGTTCCCTCACCCCCCTACCCCGACAGGATTCCTGGTGCCAGTCGGGCTGGGCTGTTCCAGAGGGTTCCTTCAATGGGAACATCTGGATGCCTGCGGTAACAGCTCCCGCTCGCTGCACGGCACAGCCAACCGCTGCCCTCGGGATGAAAGAGCTGCTCTCAAACCACAAATTAATTCTGCATTTACAGCACCAGAGAAACTCCCATTAATCCAGCGTGCAGCTCAGGAACCTCCTAGGACTTCTCCACAAGGATAACATCTGTGGGACAGCGTTACGAGCTTTGGTGCTGCTGTCACAAGCTGCACAAGGTTTATTTTTCTTGGGAGCTGAGGGAATAGGATGAAGCTTTGCTTTTCATTTTATTGATGAAAACTGGAAATCAGCAACCTGAGGGCTGAAAATCCTTGAGTTTTGCAGCACCTCGGGCTGGCAGAGTTGAAGAATTCACACGGGGATAACTAAACCAGACCAGTTTCCCTAAAACATGGGGAAAAATATAAAAACCTGCAAGGCCTGGCTGCCCTGGAGCAGATCCCCACCTGTTTGTCGTGGTGGTAGAGGGACGCCAGCGTGTAGGGCAGGATCTGGAGGGCGGAGAAGGTGAATCCCGTCAGGGCAGCGGAGATGGTGACCACGGTGACACTGTGGGACAGGCACATGACAGAGGCGGCCCCGGGGAAGAACACCACGCTGGCCAGGTACACTGCCCGCGTCCCAAAGCGCTTCACCAGCCGGTCCATGATTGTCGAGAAGAAGATGGAGGTGATGCACTGCAGGAAGAGGCCCAGGCTGCCCATCCGGACACCTGTGGGTGCAGAGGGGTGATGGGCGCTGCCCTGGCTGCCCCCCGGGTAAACACGGCCAAGCCTCCTGCCCTCGGTCCCAAACCCCAAAAACATCCTGCTCTTCATCCCAAATCCCCAAATATCCTTCCCTCTCTGCCAGTCCCTAACTCCAAAAAATCCTTCCCTCAGTCCCCAACCCCAAAATATCCTTCCCTCAGTCCCAAACCCAAAAAAATCCTTCCTTCTCTGTCAGTCCCTAACCCCAAAAAATTCTTCCCTCTCCATCAGTCTTTCACCTCAAAAATATCCTTCCTTGTCAATCCCTAACCCCAAAAACATCCTGCTCTTAGTCCCAAATCCCCAAAAAATCCTTCCCTCTCTGTCAGTCCCTAACCCCAAAAAGATCCCTGTTAGTCCCTAACTCAAAAAATATCCTTCCCTGTCAATCCTAACCCCAAAAACATCCCTGAGAGTCCCTAACCCCAAAAACATCCCTGAGAGTCCCTAACCCCAAAAGGATCCCTGTTAGTCCCTAACCCCAAAAACATCCCTGAGGGTCCCTAACCCCAAAAACATCCCTGAAAGTCCCTAACCCCAAAAACATCCCTGAAAGTCCCTAACCCCAAAAACATCCCTGAGAGTCCCTAACCCCAAAAACATCCCTGAGGGTCCCTAACCCCAAAAAACATCCCTGTCAGTCCCTAACCCCAAAAACATCCCTGAGAGTCCCTAACCCCAAAAAAAATCTCAGTCAGTCCCTAACCCCAAAAGGATCCCTGTCAGTCCCTAACCCCAAAAGGATCCCTGTCAGTCCCTAACCCCAAAAGGATCCCTGTCAGTCCCTAACCCCAAAAGGATCCCTGTCAGTCCCTAACCCCATAACGTCCTTCCCCCTGAGGCACTGCCAGCCCTGCCAGCCTGGGCCGGCTCAGGAAGCGGAGCAGCATCACCCAACAAATTCCAGGATTGCAGCAGCCACCCCCCAGCTCCCTCCCTCCCTCCCTCCCCTGTGGGAGGTGGAAAATGCCACCCCTGTCTCTGGAAGCCACCGCTCTGGCCCCAGGACCTGTCACCTGCTGCTGAACCAGGACCTGTCGTTATCTGATGCCAAAGGCAGCAGCAGCAGAACAAAGGCAGCGGGGAATTGTGCTCGGGCCAAGGTAAAGTACAGAACATGCTCTGAACTGCGTATCCGGCAGCGATCCGGACCTTACCCCATCCCAAAGATCGCTCAGATTTCAGGGAATTAAAGCCATTAACTCTTTGGAGCGGGGATCATTACTCAACACATGTTTCTATGACGGGCGGCACAATGGAGGGCTGACCTGCCGGCAGCTAAACAGTGCAAGTGTTAAATAATAATTAAACTGCCTGGAAGTTAAACAGACACCCAGCACAAAGGGGCAGTGTGCTGCAGGGCCCTCCGAGTGGAAAAGTGCAGGAGGAAGGCCAGGAAGGTGCCTCCAGGATAAAGGATATGGATTAGGGAGAGGGAAAGGGTGGTTAGGCAAGGAGGCGAGGCTCTGGCACAAGGCAACAGCCAAAATGGGACGGCAGGTAACACCTGTGAGCAGGTGAAGGGCTGCTGGGGCAGATGTGGCAGCACTAAAGCACTGGAGAGGGGGCTGAGAGCTGGGAAAGCTGCTGGAGGGCTCCCAGAACCAGAACCAAATCCCACCTCACCGCTACAGAGCACAGCCCGGTTCTGCTCCCCACCATCTGCACCCCCAGGATGGGGAGCACCCTCAGCCCTCGCTGGGAAAGGTGGGAGAGCAGTGCCAGGAGTGTCAGAGCCAGCTCCATCCTGCTCCTGTTGGTTCTGCCACCCAGCCCAGCCCCAGGCCAGGCTGCCCTGCCAAATCCGTGCTGGCAACGACCAGGAGGTGTTTCCCAAGCTGTGCCACGCTCTGGGAGCCATGGGAAAACATTCTTGCCCGGCCTATCCACAGAAAGCCAAGCTTGCCGCAGCTTTTTTCTCATTGTTTTTTGCATTACCAACAGAGCTGAGCCCCATCCCGAGCTCCCAGTAAATGTTTCCATCCCAGGGAACACCCGGCTCGCTTCTCACCTTCATCGTAGCGGCGCCTGGCCTCCGTGCCTGGCTTGGCCCTGGGCACGCCGTGGTACAGCCCTTCCCCGACAAAATCCGTGTAGAACAGCATGAAAGTCATGAGAGCCATCCAGCTGCAGAGCTCGGCCACGAAGAGGCGGCGGATGACCCTGGGGATGCGGCAGCAGAGGCCGTGCAGCCGCGGCAGCAGCGCGCACACGTTCCTGGCGGCCCTCAGCACCTGCCTGCCCTGCAGCAGCCACGACCCCCGCGCCAGCCGGCAGCAGCAGCACGCCAGGGACACCTTGGGGGACGTGTCCTTGAGCGCTGGCCCCTCTGGGACATCCCCCTGGGCCGCCTCCTCCGTCACAAAC